ATAGGCAATAAGCAAATATATTTGACGGGGGCGAAGTTTCCTGGTATACAGTAAAAAGTCAAGATAGTGCTGCAATGTCACAGTAAAGACTAAATATTATACACGGGTTAAAGTAAACTGTTTAATAAGTTATAATAACGGAATTGGTGGCATAACAACTATCAGTATCACCTAAAGTCTATAAACAAATGAACACAAATAAAAATCCCTTTGTACAGTCTCCCCAGCTTTTAGTCTAAAGCAAAGTGTATTTTTTACAAGTTTTTTTTATTAAGATTGTTCAGTTAATTAAGCTCAAATAAAAGAGTAAAAGATACAACTCTCATTAGGTACAGCATTTTGGGTTTTCTATAACTACAATGAAACTGTAAAGCAGATATAGCGATTTTGTCTTGCTATACATTTCTCCATCATAGAAATGATTTTCAACTGGCTTTTAATGAATTTCCCATCTTCAACTACATGTATATAGTACTGGCACCACTTATTAACACCATATATGGGTCTTAACAAATATTCATTCTTGTATAGAAAAATCAGCCCATTTTGAAACCAATTTTTATGAATTCTGAAATAACCCAGCATATGTTCTCCATCTTGTTGCCAATGTCTACAATATAATATAGCTGAGTTCTAGGTTTACACACAGTGAAGTCTCTCAATCTGACACCTCCTTCGAATTGATGGTCCTTGATATTTCCTTGGGGACCGAACCCAAGACAAATCAATGATGGATCATTGTCTGGCCATGTGTCATTAGTAACCCCTGGAGAGATTCCATCCCCAATGTGTAGACAAAATAGTGGAGTTATAACATTAGACCTTACAAACACCTCCCTCCCTCTGCGGCGGGTCCCCATCCACCACTATGGCTCTTTGCCCCCCCCCCACCATCACTTTAAAAATCTGTCCACAGAAACAACTATCTAGTAAGGGTAGGTTTAAGCCAGTACCATAAGGTAATGAATGCCACATATGAGGAATATATATACCTAAGACAGGAAAAGCTAAATTAAGTTAATTAAAACAACCAATTAGACATTGCAATGCATACAGCTACACTGTATCACTGCTATGAAGGTGACTGGAATACTCCAGCTAAAAGTTCATTATCTGATGTCAAGATAAGATTTGTACCCGACATTAAACGATGAATCCTGGAGTAAAATATTTATATTCCACGTACAGGAACACACTCTATATAATAATATTCTACAGAAACACATTAAAATGATTTTTTTTCTCCTACGTTTATATATATTGAGACAGATTTGTTGATCTTCAACTGAGGAATATAGCTGACTTTGAGATTAATGTCATGTCATCTCATATAAGACTTCAAATACATTGTTGCTGAGATTTTAAATCAAATGCCAGATTCAAGACAGTAAAAATTGTGTGATGGAGGACAAGATTTTCTCCAATAGTACTTCAGGTTTAGGTATGAGATAGTATATTTTAGGAGGTCAGCCAACCAGCTATAGACACTTCCCTGTTAGCTTTTGGGACAAATCTGAACTAAACAAGAAACTGAAAACTAATTTATGTTTCCACTGAGACTTGAATGGTACATTATATAGTCGTATGAAGATTTAAACACATTGACCCCTGTGAACTTTGTATGTGGATGGAGGTGATTAATTTGAATAAACTTGCCAGCCTTTTATCTCAGCCAGCCAAATACCATTACTCATTATTCAGTTTCAATCCAGTGATTTGAAAGCGAGTCAATGTCATATAATTAAAGATATATATATATATATATATAGCAAAAGCAATTAATTTAAAAATAACGCCAACACTGGCCAAGCTAAGCTAAGCTAAGTTTTCCCCTAAATACCAGCACATTGTACCAAGTGAGAAAAAAAATTGTGTCAATATAGTTTCCCAATTAAAAACCAGTATGAAGGGGTGGGGGGCCGAGAATAAGCTAGCTGATTTTTGAAATTGTTTGCACAATTTCTGCAGTATTTAGCCATTTTTATAGCCATACACACTGGACAGAGTGTTACATAAAGTGTTACTGTGTTGTATTGTTAACCTATGTCCACCATTAATGAGTTTTAGTTAGATTACTGAGGCTGAGATTGTAAATATACTTGTAATTCCTTTAGTACATGAACTGTATGATATTGCCATACCTAAACAAATGAAGTTTAGTTAAGTAACGATTCAGGTGAAAGCCAAGATGGTCTCAGTCATTTTTTTTCTACCTCCTTTCAACAGGGGCGTAGCCTTGACAGTGGCGTAGCAAAACATTTTCGGAGCGTATGCTTACAGGGGGTCGAGCATCCGAAGCGCATAGCCCCATAGGAGAGGAAGAATATAGGAGGGGATCCCCATAGATGGGAAAAAAAATCTACTAGGACCTAGAAGCAATCTCTCGTCCTTTAAGAAATCCTTCCAGTCTGATAAGTAACAAGCAAAAAGATTTGTTTTATTATTTTCTTTTTTATGATTGATATGGACGGTCCATATTTAGCATAAACAAGAGATCCCAGAGGGATCTTGGTGCCCACCTTTGTACCATCTTCATTAGTTCTTTGTCAGTTCGATCTTTTCTCTTCTTTCCTCTAAACTGTTTGATCGAGTCATGTTAACAGTAAATGCACCTTGAGGTAACTTTTGATCTAAACTTAATACTGATGTGTATGAAAGCCAACCTTCAAAGTGAGATTGTCATTTCTCATATTTACTAGTACAGTACTTAATGTGAAAGAAATAGAATCGATCATTGCAATATGAGAAAAATCTGTTTAGTTCTTCTTTTAATCCATTTTGTTGTTATGATCAGTCTCCAAATATAACATGCATAACGAGAGATCAAGGGGAACCTACATATAAAATTTGAGAAAGATCCATCTGGTACTTTTGGGAAATAGCGATAACAAACTTTCACGATAACAAACTTTCACTATCAAAATCCAAGATGGCTGCCTGTCGGCCATGTTGTTTATCCGATCAGTCTCAAAAGTTTCCCTGCACAGCTAAGGACTAAAGGGAACCTACATATAAAATTTGAGAAAGATCCCTCTGGTACTTTTGGGAAATAGCGATAACAAACTTTCACGATAACAAACTTTCACTATCAAAATCCAAGATGGCTGCCTGTCGGCCATGTTGTTTATCCGATCAGTCTCAAAAGTTTCCCTGCACAGCTATGGACTAAAGGGAACTTACATATTAAATTTGAGAAAGATCCCTGTGGTACTTCTTGAGAAATAGCGATAACAAACTTTTATTATCAAAATCCAAGATGGCTGCCTGTTGGCCATGTTGTTTATCCGATCAGTCTCAAAAGTTGCCCTGCACATCTATGGACTAAAGGGAACTTACATATTAAATTTGAGAAAGTTCCCTTTGGTACTTCTTGAGAAATAGCGATAACAAGAATTGTTTAATGACGGACAACGGACGCAGGATGATTTGAATAGCCCACCATCAGATGATAGTGGGCTAAAAAGAAATTAATAAAAAATATCTTATAATGTTAGTGTATGCTTGAGCATACAAGTGTAACAGGAGAGGAAAAATGCACGGCCAGACTGGGGTTCGAACCCGGGACCCTCCGAACTCTAGACAGATACTCTACCAATCGTGCTATCTGGTCGCCGACGATCAACCCAGTCCAGTTCCGCTACACATGTATGCTACACCACTGCTTGTGACTTCGGGAACATCATACACACAGAAAAGAATGATTTGGGGAAAATACAGCAGAAATTATCTATCTTATATCCTATATTCACCATAAAAATTCATTAAGTCCCAATATTTTAAGTTGGATCAGTACCCAGAGAAAAACCAACGCACCATGGCCCCCTTAATACATGTTGTATCCAATCTGATCAGTGGTGGGCAACACTCACAAGTATACTCCCCTGTCACAATGGTGAACAAGATTTTTGCTTGTTTGTGAAGGCCAGTCATTGCCTATAATTTGAGGTCCAGGGTTCAAATCCTAGGAGACTTACTCCAAAATGTGATGATTATAACTACATGTACAGTGACTTTTTTATGGCCCTTGCAGCATTCCAACGAAAAATACATATTTTGACCGTTTATAATTATCCAACATCTATACGGCAGAAATGCTACGCATATTAATGGCCGAGAATTACCGACTCTCTGCACACTAGTCAAGTCTAATAATTAATTATTAAGAATATCTTTAACCAATGTGTTACTTTTTACATCAAATAAACATATTCTTTTTCTTTAAATGTTGATGAAAAAATATCAGAAATTTTACATCTATGAAAAATAAAAGCATACCTCTAAATGTATGCATTTTGTAGTTGACAGCCTTACCGTAAAACCAAAAAAACAATCATTTTATGAGATTTTGCTTGATTTTTATCAAAAACGAAATCTTATAAAATAAGCTCAATAGGTTTTACAGCTGCATAGCCCGATCAGCAGAATGTACTGGAAAGTTTACTTATTGCAAAATATTTGAGAGTTACATTGTACATGTACCTCTCAGTATTCAAATTAAAAAATAAATGATTCATATATAATAAGTATAAAAATGACTTGTTAATTATTAATCTGATAATGTTTAAAAGCATCTCCAACAGCAAATAGTTATAACAGTGCATCATCCCATACCGCCTACCGGCCTACATAACTTCCTCGTCAGACGAAGATGTTTCATTTTCAGAAAGATACAGAACCTATTGTGTATGAGTACAGATGCAAAATATCAGGGTTGATGCATGTTCGATAGAGAGTGCAACAATAGTAAAGGAAAGGGAAATGATAACGTTTAAACAAAAGATTTCAGACCTAACCAGGAAATAGGGCATGAATCACCAATGGGCGCCGCCATCTTGGATGATACTTCAAATAGACATTTTGAGGATGACATTGCGTCTAAGTCACGAAAATCGCAACATTTTCAAACAAAATACTTGCACAAACATGTTATTAAATGAGTATTTGTGAATTTACATTATTATGAAGTCGAAATATGCACAAAAACACTAATAAATACTTACTGAAGTTGCCGACTAAGCTTCCGCATAGAGGGCGTGTTGAACCGGAAGTAGGTAAGACAAGTGTATTGCAGTCATGTGACAAGATAACCAGAGCTTCCGTTTTTAGCAGACGAAAGTTCGCGTTCGATCACATAGACTTGAGTAGAGTTTGATGGATCTGTAGCAGTAATATTACGTTTCAACTTGACGCCCTGAATTTCAAAGATGTAATCAATGTGTTTTTTTTTCAAAACGGCTGGATTTAGTGCAAACACAGGGACCTGATAATTTGTTACATCTATATTTGGACCTAAACTAAGGGGTTCAGTAACGATCATTGGGGGCGTCATTTTTAACCGAAAGTCGATCTAAACCCCTAAATCATGTAAAATTACTCTGAACCCCTTAGTTTAGGTCGAAATATAGTTGAAACATATTATCCGGTCCCTGTGCTAAAGCATGTAACAGTTACGCACAAACATACGAAAAATAAAGATGGGAACCCGTGGATCGGAATGGAACTCAAAAAACAACCTAAGAGACAGGAAAGACTCTACAAAAGAAAAAAGAAAACGGATGACCCACAACATATCGCCCAATACTTGGAACTTAAAATACAAATTCAAAAATCATCCAGACAAGCATATTGGAAATACATTGGAAACATAGTAACACCCAAGGAAGAAGACAATACCCAGGGATTTCAATAAGTTCTTAATGATCAGGAGATAAAATGTTTTTAACAGGCACCATTTTGAGCCACGTAGTGGCTCAAACCATAAGCAGCGGCCGTAGGCCGCTGCAAGGGGAAGGTATCATTGGAGGGGGCAGCGCCCCCTCCCATAAGGGGGTACGGGGGTCTCCCCCGGGGAATTTAAGTCGCAGGAGAGGCATTCTGAGCCTATTTCAGACTGCTATTAAGTATTGAAATCTGTGGGGAAAGGTGCTGTTTTTATATAATTTACAAGCAATTTTCATATTTTTAACAAAGTTATGTGCTCACTTTTAAAAGACAACAAAAGACCATCATAAACAAAATAATTGCTTACTTTCCCTACTCACTTTTTTTTAGGAAGGTAGGGAATTTTTTTTTACATTTTTAGAAATGTCATATTTCTATAGAAAAACACTAAGTTTCAAGGATTTTTCAGCAAAAATATTCTTTTTTTATCAAAAGTTACAAAAAAGAAGTTTAGAGTAGGTGATATTTTTAGTGAGTCGGTCGGGAAAATGCAAACAATCAATTTTTGAAAGGATGGTCTTAATCAAGTCATTAGTGTAGGCAGGAGTGCACCTACATATATAATCATTAATGTACAAATATGACAAAGATAGAAAATGTGCTCATTTTTTTTTATGAAATAACTTGAGCAAAAAGGTATTATATATCATATTACACTGGTGATTGCTGTATTATAATTATGATGTACAACATGCTTTCAACAGATATTATATGTGGTCCACTTCACACTCACTTATCTTTGGATGAACATACAAAAACCATATGAATATAGCTCTGGGCTACCTCATGTGGACAAAAACAAACAGAGCAGCTTTTATACATGTTTATGTTACATATACCCTTCACACAGCCTTGAAACAACCTAAACGTGCACTGCATATAACACCTTACGGTTACGTACCCACCCAATCATATTGTAGAGCTTGTGGACATTTATGAGCTTATGGTCACACATACACATATTCTGAGAAGACTGCACCAAATACTAACAGAAACATGAAGTGGGATCTAACGCATGTAACATGTTCATTGCGTGAGGTGCCAGTCCATATTTATGGCAATACTGCTATTATATGCATAATATTTGATTAATTCGGTATAAAACTTTTGTATCAGGTAGATATATAGACACTGTAACAAAAATCTAACCAAACCAAGACATTGTAGTTATACTTAGTCCTTAGCAGCAAACATCATAATCACAATCTGAATACTCAGAGTCTGACTCTGTATCATCATGTTGACCCAATTTCAACACATGGAGAACAGCCCTCGTATTCTGTTTTACATTGTCCAGCTCGTTCTCAAGGTCCCCGAACCCAATATCTGTCTGAGTTCCTGCATCTGCTGTGGTTGTGACGACAGAGCCTAGAACCTAGAATTATACCTCCTATGGAATGAAACGATTTTGGACATATATCATATATCAAACATAAAAAGAAAGACAATGTCGGAATTACATCACTAAAGCTAGATGGAAAACTCTTCACAGATGCCAAATCCAAGTCAAACATCCTAAACCAACAGTTCAAGTCAGCATTCTCTGAAAAAGCATCATTATCATTCGACGAATTTCGGAAATTTAAACGTATGACATCAAAGGAATATCCAAAAATGAAGGAACCTGAAATGACAGCCAAAGGAATAGAGAAATTACTTGAGAAATTAAACCCACACAAAGCCCCAGGACCTGACAATATCTCACCCCGTGTACTAAAGGAGCTCTCCAGCGACATAGCCCCAATTCTCCAGTTAATCTATCAAAAATCACTGGACACTGGAATCGTCCCTGTTGACTGGCGTTCAGCAAATGTCACCCCTGTATACAAAAAAGGGCAAAAATCTCAAGCGGAAAACTACAGGCCAATATCTCTCACCTCAGTGTGCTGTAAGGTCATGGAACACATCATCGCCAGTACCATTATGCTCCATGGAGAAAACAACATCCTCTATCCTCTCCAACATGGATTCCGGAAAAACAGACAATGTGAAACCCAGCTCATCGAATTTGTCGATGATGTCTCCAAAAATCTTCAATCCGGCAAACAAACTGATATTCTCATCATGGATTTCGCAAAAGCTTTCGACAAAGTCAATCATAGCCTCTTAATTCACAAACTAAAAACCTACGGAATAACTAGAAAATTCAACACATGGATAAGCAGCTGGCTAAAAGACAGAACCCAAAAAGTTATCATCGACAGTGAAAAATCAGACAGTAAATGTGGACTCCGGGGAACCACAAGGATCAGTCCTAGGACCGGGACTATTTCTGTTCTACATCAATGATCTACAGGAAAAACTAACATCACCCGTACGACTATTCGCTGATAACACGATCGCCTACCTTACAATCACCAATCAAAATGATGCCGAAATACTCCAAAAATACCTGGACAAACTCGCGAAGTAGCAAGAAGACTGGTGCATGATGTTCCACCCAAATAAATGCACAGTGCTAACCATCTCTAACAAAAAGCAGACGATAAAACATAATTACACCCTCCATGGCCACATTCTGGAGCAGTTACATCAGCAAAATATCTTGGACTCACAATATCAAGCAAGCTAAGCTGGGGCCTCCACATAGATAATATCACCTCAAAAGCAAACAAAATCCTTGGATTTCTGAGGAGGAACTTGAAAATATCTTCAATAAAAATCAAAGAGCTTGCCTACAAAGCACTTGCCAGACCATTGGTTGAGTACTCGAGCTCAGTACGGTCCTACCAAATTCAGGCATGTAAAATAGACTCAAGAAAAAATGCATTCTTCCCTCGAACAATAAAAGACTGGAACGAACTTGATTCAAAAACTGTGAATTCGACAAACTTGGAAACCTTTAAGAAAACTCTCAACGAATTGGAACTAAAAAAGCTTAAAATTCTAACAGACCCCGAACTCACTAGGCTTAAGACTGGTGGGTCGAATCAACCAGCTTTAAACGCCTGACACTACATCAGTGTTTTTACTTTTTAACTTTTACAAACTCAAACTTTTCAATTGTGTGTTCACCTGCGCATTGTGTATCATAAACATTGCATAATCTTCGGTAAGACGAAGGAGGCAATTATGTGGAGGAAGAAGAAGAGGGTGCCGCAGGGAGAATTTCAAATCGCACAAAGTACGATCATTAGATTTTAACGTTACATAGATTGCTCATATATGACGGTTTTTGAGATGTTATTGAAAGATGTTTTTCAGAATAAATGCATGTAACGCTACTTGTTTTCTGAAGAGGATAGGTGAATAAAGCGAGAATTTACCTATATTGGAAAGACATACTGTCAGCTACGTACGGCTGTACAGTTAAGGATTTCTTCCTTACTGATTAAAAACGCCAAGAAACCATTGTCTTTTGTCAATTTCTCGACATGAAATCTTTAAAAGGAGTATCAAACTATATTTATAAAAAAAAACTTACTTCACTAAATTGTCCCTTTGGCGAATGTTCATAAAACGAGTGTTATTAAGTGGATAATGTTTAGCTTTGTTCTGTTTAAAAATATTACAAGTGGAAGTCAATGTAGACTGTGCGTCTTTGCGTATTGCAGAGTTATCTTCTCTTGTGAGCTGGTATTGATTGTTACGTCATTGGTTTGTGTGAGAAAATTACGTCTTTTCTCAAAAATTGATGACGTTATCTCCCAAACAAATGACGTAACAATCAATACCTGCTCACAAGAGAAGATAACTCTGCAATACCCAAAGACGGAATAGTTCAACTCCGAAAGTCATTTGTGACGTCATTATCCTGATAATAGAATACACGTCATACTTCGACATATTGCTGTCACAATGCCATAGTTTGTGAATTAAACCTTTAACCAACCGGAACATGTCACATTTAATGTTGCGCTTTTGATGTTAATAAATGGTAATGTGAGAAATATGCCGATACTGAATTCGTCAAAAACATTTCCACTTTATGTTTTTTTAGGCAAAGTAGAGCAGACAAGCTTTTTGTAAGATAATCTCATATTTATCAGGTAAGATAGGTATGCTATGGCAGTTTTAAAACATTCAAATCCTTGTGTGACGTAGAGGTAAATATTTTGTCATTGTGTGTCGACGGTTAGGTATATATTTTGTCATTGTGTTTTAATTTTGACGTTGAAGTATATTTTATCGCTATATGTACATGTTGACGCTGTGGTATACTTTGACTTTTTGTACTGACGCTGTGGTAATTATGAATAAAAGCAATATTTTCCCCTCCGTCAGACATAAGTTTCCACTATTTGTCGAACCAGCTTTCATCAACAAATCCAGCATTTATTTTAAACCCATTCGAAAGATCTGATTGAATATTTTAAAATTTTATTTCTGAAAATTATTTTTG